GTATTTATGTGGTCTTTCGCAAGATTTTAAATCACGATCTAAAGAAGTGTTGAGGTAAATAGGGCAGAAATTTTCATTCTCTTTCTTCGCCTATGCACAGATCACGAGACACCTTAGTAATACTTTCCATCTACACACGCTACAGATGATAACAGACCTTGTTGATATACGATCAAAGACCTTATATCAATAACGTCTCATTATAATATGTGAACTACTTCTTTATTGCATTTCTAGAGAATTAAGCAAAATGATGGTGAAGAAATTTGTCACAAAATGGATAGAATAGAACAATCTCCTTGTGATTAACAAGATCAACTACATCGTGTTTCACATTTTAATCCCATAGGTATTGCGCTAACAAGTTTTAACTAAGAAGACGAAATTTTCAAATGATAGCTACAACCAAGATAGAAAGATAGCATTTTTTTGCAAAAATATGACAAATACATTTGTCGAATAATTTAATGAAGCGAACAGGGCGGTTATTGTTTTCAATCATTTATATATATATATATATACGTAGGTGAAACAGAGAAATAGTAGTCATATGATCAGAAAAAGTATATAGGACTATCCGACAATGTGACCGGTGAAATTAATTCATAAAATTCCAGACAATGTTCTATCACTTGATATCCTTTCATCTGTATGTTTCATCAACAAACGTCGTCGTTCGGTGTCTCTGATCTATCCTTGCTTTCAACTGAACTTTAGTGGTGTGAATACATCGGTGAACAAGAATCAGTTTGACTCTATCTATACCTAACTACTTTATTTGACCACTCCAATTATATCTTTGACATTTTTTGATGACAGCAATGTAATAACATCTGTAAAAAACGCTCTTTTCTTCTCGCGATTCAATATAATTGATAGAACCCTTCCAAATCTTTGTTTGTTGACTTTGACTCAAAATAAAGTATGACACATGCTGATTATTCTAAACTCGATTTCCACCACTCATCATGACGCTCTCCATTCGTTTGTCCTATTTTGATACATTAGCATATTTATTGATGATATTTGCTATTTTCAGCGAACTACTCTTCCTTTCACCGTTACTTCAATATCTCTCTGTCAAAATGACCAAACTTTTGGATGGTGTTGTGAAAATTCATCCTCAAAATTCAGCAATATCATCTAATGTTCAATATTTCCATTTAGAATTCGTAACAATTGATTTATTCAGTTTTCTTGTCGTCATATCAAATTAGGTAGAATTTATCTTCGCCTATTGTATTTGCAACAATTGTGAATCGGCTTGTGGACTGTCACTTGGATAAAAATAGCAATTTTATTCTTGTGATTCTCACGACTCACCTATTTGACAGGCATTGCTAACCATGCTCATAGTGATATGGCTGATATTTTTGCCTGAGTACAATTATTGCAACAGATCAAGCATTACAAGTTTAAACTTGAATTTTCCTATGATGCCTTCTAACAACAACTACTCAATCTTGATTCGTTTAGCACAAAATTTCGGCTCAAAAAGAAAACGTGCTTTGTTACATGCAGTTGAAGTTTGAATACTGATGATTCTTCAATGCTCTCATTCAAATTCTTCTTCTATTATGGCTCAACTACTACATGGAATGATTGGAACGATAATATCAGAATCAACAGCATTCGAGCCAATATCATTTTGCCATGTTCATTACTGAATAATTAATGATCAGTATTTGAAATATGCATTCTAATACCGATATATCCACATCAAAGAGTTATACTTGTCATAAGTTACGACTACATTTCCTACGACATTTAAAGATCTCGCAACTTGTCTTGATACATCACAAATTATGATATATAACATTGATCTCGAGCGATGTAGAAATTTACCTTATGAACACATCGAGTTTTTACGTAGTTTGCCTTGTTTGCATCGACTACAAGACTCTGGTGTTAGTCTCAGCTATCTTTTTCTCCACCAGTGGTCTCATATTGTTCATTTGAAGATTAAAAATGAATTCTAGAGTAGGCTTCATGTCTTATGTTAAAATGATATTGATGCACTGTGTCATTCGTTTACTCATATCGAACGACTCGATATTTATTCGTATTCTGTTACTGATCTACTACAATTTTTCAATAGAATGAAGAAAACATTAACACGCGTAGTCGTTAGACAATCAGGCAAGGTCAATGATGAACAATTTATAATATGTGAATTGATTGAACGAAATACAGAACTGCAAAAATTTCACTACACATGTAATCATTGAAATTTTGTTGGGTTATGACTTTGACACCTCTGTGAAAAAGACATTGCATATATTAATTTTTCTTTTTATTGTATCTATAACATTTATTTTGTAAGAGAAGACAAATCTTTGAAAAAACAGCTTACTCATAGAGAAGTGATTGAAACTGTAAAGCAATGTTGTAGTATACAAGAAGTATGGTACTGCTTATTGATAGGACATCAAATTTTCGACCTTACTTAATAAATAATTGAGTTAATAAATTTTGGATGAAATTAGTTAAACTAATACTTTGAAATTTTTCATAAGATACTCTTTCATAATACTAAGTTTGATTTACCTGAAAAAAAAACACTACTTCTAGATAAGATATAGCACTTTCTTTTTTTCTTCTTGGCAAGAAGAATAGGTGTTGTCAAAGGACACATTGTTTTGTTTTTTGTTTTCCAATGAAAATTTTTTGTATGACTGCTTCTGCTTCTATTCATGTGCATATATCGATATTTTCGTCCTATCATCATTGCGATCAGAAAAATAATTATATACAGATGCAGCATAATATTCAATTCTACCTCCAACATAAAAATAAATAGATATAATGAGCACAGAGTCTTATTTTCTTTTTGTCTATCCGCTCATGTTGATCATCACAAAGTGAAAAAGCATTATGTCGCACTCAATATTGAATCATATCTCAAACAACTCATCATTTACTTATTTTGATTCTTTTTAGATGACTCAACCTCTCTCGTCTTCTATGACACTTTCAGCGTCATCTCTCTCAACGGACATCTTTCGTCTAATTGCACCTCTTCGTCCCAATTGGTCTCCATCCAATACTTGTCTGTACCAATTTATTGATGGTATCACCAATACAATTTTTGGTCTTTTCGATAACTCAGATCGATCAGAAGCACTCGTTATTAAGATATTCGGATTAAAAACAGAAGAATTCATTGATCGTGATGCCGAGATAAACACTCTATGTATTCTTTCGCAGCATAAACTTGCTCAACCCGTTCTTCTTCGATTCACCAATGGAATTATCTATAAATTTGCTCCGGGTGAAATTTGTACAAGGGATGACATCAGAAGCATGCTGATTGCTTCACTAATTGCTCGTCAAATGGCCAAACTTCATTCATTGCCAATTGAACATATGAATGAAAAACCATGTCTCGTTCCATTAATGCGAAAATTCTTGATGTTGATTGACAATGATAATGGTCGACTAGAAGGTAAATAAATAATTATAACTAAGGAGAGTGATGTATCTCAAAGTGTAAAAGACTTTAACAGATGATGTCATCAATAGTTCTTAAAACAGATCCTATTGAAGTTTTCTTTCACTCGAATCTATTCTAGGATTAGTCTCTTTATTGTAGACTTGACCTCTCTTTCATCTGATGTCGATTGGATAGAACGAGACGTATTACCTCGACTTATTCCTAATCCTCAATATGGTATTGATTTGGTTTTATGTCACAACGATGTTCTCTGTAAAAATGTTCTTTATGATTCATTATCACATTCAATTTCGTTCATCGATTTCGAATATTCTGCAATCAACTTCGCTCTATTCGATATAGCTAATCATTTTGTCGAATATGCAGGCGTTGATCAAATCGATTTCGATCGATATCCAACGAGAGATGAACAATGTCGCTGGCTTAAAATTTATTTCGAAGAACGAGGCTTGAGATTTGACGATCAAGAGAAGATATGTCATCTCATCGATCAGTTTTCTGCCTTATCTCACTTGTGCTATGGACTTTGGGGACTTGTTCAAGTTCGTTTTGCTAAACTTGACTATGACTATGCCTCCTACGCACGACGTCGCCTCAACAGATTCAGAGAACTTAAATCACTTTTTTTCAATCAATCATAATAGGAGTGATTTTTGTCAGTTTTTTATCAGAACTTTTTGGCTTCTTTGATCACTATTGATTTATTTCATGTAATGCGCGTTTATTGCAACAGTAGTTATGATTTCCCTACGGCACACAGACAAAAATTGGGCAATTGAAATAAAACAGAAGATTTTAACGTACAATTGTGGCAGAGAAAGGAAAGAGTTATTGACACTAATTTCAAAAAATTGTTATTTCATGCTATTAAAATTTTACTAAAAAAAAATACTCATCGAGTTAAGATTTTGACAATGAATGACACATATTCACATTAATCACATATCAAATGTAAAATATTTTTATGTCAAAATGATATATATTCAAAACTTTACAAACCTTTGAAATTGTCATTCTATTCGTAAGGATAATTGGCAAAAACTACCTATATTCACTATCGGATGGGTGTGGAAGCATCCCTTATCTCTTCCACACTCACATCCTACATCCACACCCAGATAGTAAAATTAAATATAGATCACGTCCTCACTCTTCCTCTCACATTAACTTTTGCTCTGACATTACCCTTCCTCTCTCATTCTCATCTTCATCTCGGTCCTCACTGTTAGTCTCAAGGGAAAAGTGAGACTTCAGCGCTCTGAACTTTCGCTTTTCTCCCTTGGGTAATCTCCTCAATGTTTCGAGAGCAACTGTCTGGAGTATAAAAGTCGTGTTACCACTCTGAGCACTAAATGAAAATCAAAATTGTTTATATACTTTTGAAATATTTCTATTTCTCTCTATCTCTTTCAAAGTCACCAGTACATGATTATGCCACTTTCCAACAATAAAGCTCTTGTACTTTTTTTTCATCTTTCCGTATTTTAATTCTAACTGAAACAAATCAAAGTAAAACAAAGTAAATGGTTCAGAAATGTGTTGATGTCTAAAATTTAAATGGTCGTTTACAATTGACGTTTTTCTTCGACAAAAATTTTGTTGTCTTTGTTGTTGTTGTTGATGATGGTAAAAAAGTAAAATCACTTAATAGTCGATGATTAATATCTATCCATTGAAGCCAATCAGGTAGATAACGTTTTAAAATAGCTAAAAGCATTAAACAATCATCTTCAGCACGATGATATGTTAAAATTGGTATTCGATTAAGCTCTCGTTCATATATTTTCAATAGTTTCATTGATGGTAATTGTCGAGCAAGATTTGATTTTATAGGTATTTCAACATATTTACGACGATTTATTGAAACAACATTCGATAAAGATAAATCACTAGATGCATTAATATTATCTATATGTTTCTTATCAAGAATATTTTCATCACTAATTAATCGATATATTTCACGAAAGAAATTAATTGAGTCAACACAAGCTATTGATATTAATGATGAATCTATTTGATTTATTGAAGTAGAATCATTAGTACGAAGAGCAGTTTGAATTTCATTAAATAATATAGGAAAATCAAATCTATTCCCATTATGAGCTAAAAAAAAAGGAGAAAAGACAAATAATCAATAAAATAATTTTCGTTTTTTTTTATTTACCAACAAAACATAATGGTTTTTGAAAATCATTTAAAAAATGTTCGATTGCAATTACTGTTTGATGATTAAATGATGCATAATTTTTTAACATATGATTATCCAAATCTAAAATAAATTCTTAATAGACATCATTTCTTTGATTAGATATTTACTAGATAATTCTGTTGCTTTAGAACGAATTGTTTTTCTTGGATCAAAAAATTTAACAAGTTTATTCTAATTAAACAAAAAAGAAAACCTATTAAAATCTGAAACAATTTTTTTAATATTTTATGATATTTACTAATACTCGTGGTAATTCTTCATCAGATTTCATTTCATCTAATGTTGAACTATCAGAAATTTTTCTTTTTTTTTTTTTTTAGGAATAAAAAAAAATCAAAACTTACATATGAACAGCAATTATAGCTAATTCAGTTATTTTTGGTTCATCATAAACTAATCCACTTGTTTCAAGATCAAGAATAACTAATGTTTTAAATTTTGATTTACTATTCATTTTATTATCTAAGACGAAGATCTGATCTTAAAAAAAGAAGATATGAAAGTTTTTACCACACAATACGGTTTTGACAGACTAACACTGACCAGTAATTATGCAACGGAAACTACCATTATCGACTAGTTACACTGTTAGATGACGAAAAATTTATAAATTTAATATGTCGTTAGGAAACGACTATTTTATGAAAATATCGTTTTTTCATAAAGTTCGATGGAAGGGCCTTGGAGTCAAAGAATCTTAATCCATATGTTGCTTACTGAAGGAAAACCAAACTCTCTAATTTCGAAAAATGTATCATCTATTTGAATTCCTCGATTCCAAAATCCTTCGATTAAACTTTATGGAAAAATGATATTTTCGCAAAATAGCCGTTCTCTGACGAAATATCAAACTCATACATTTTTCCTTACCTAACACTGTAACTCGATGGTAACGATAGCTTCTCTTGCATAATTGATGTCACTATCAGATGCTATCGGTTTTGTGGCATGCCCAAATTAATTTAATTTTGGATCTGACCTGAACAGTGAATAGCATATCCCGCACTTTTCTCAGACAATCTTGATGAGGATCTTATAAAAATTAGAGTATAATTGACTTTTTAATTTAAAGTAGCACACGTAGCATTAATTCTGGATTAGATAAATAGAAAATTTTCCTGTCCGAATCCAAACAGGTTCTAGTAACATCATCAATTTCATGTAAATACTTGTACAAAATCGTCTTTCTTTCTTTTTTTGAAAAAGCACAACTCAATTTCAAGTTGTCTATTTTTTTAAACCCAGCAAATGAAACATAAATAATGGCACCATTTATTTTTTATGCTCTTCTCAGCTAGCTTCAGAAGACATCACTTTTAAGTCTTTACAAAATGACATTAGAACTTTTAATCTAAACTTCCAATTTGAAAAATTGACTGATTAATACTACCCTCTTGCAATATGTGCAATTTTCTACCATAAAAAATAGTTGTTTTGGTTTTGTTATTCGTTGGAACTTTACAATAACATCCGTCACTCAGAAAAAGAATACTATTGGCGAAAACTTACTAAAGTCATGATTGTGAAGTAGCAGCTTTTAGAACATTCTCAGACACTTTGGTAAAAGCCCACCAAAACTCAATCCTTTGAGTTTAAATTTCAATAGTTTGAACAGAAATGAATTGTACATTGAGGGGTGTCCAAGGACTGAGGAATAGGAATTCCTACTCAGTTCCCTGACATTTCCTTGAATGCTAAAATTAAAAAAGTACAATATCCACGGTATTTATTACTCTTACACTCGTTTTCATCAAGAAATTTGTGCACATGAACGTATGAGTACGAAAATTATTGCAAAAGAAGCATTATCTTGACTTTCATGAATGAGGGAACTGTGATGGAAATAATGGTCAATTCCCATTTTCCCAAGGAATTATCATAGCTACACTGACAATTCCTCTACAAATTAGGAATTCCTATTTCTCAGTCCTTGGACACTGCTGAGAAAGTTGTACATATTAAAGCAGCGCAATATTATTTCATTACGCTTTTTCAATTGAAAGTTTAGATTAAATATTCTTATGTAATTTCGTAGATAATTGAAAAAGGCTAATAAACAATTTAAAGAAAAGTTTCAATAAGTCTTTTATATAATCGAAATTATTCTTCATTCTTCGTATTTTCTTATAATAAATCTAATGAACAAATATACACACACACATACAAAAAAAATCCAAAAACCACCGGGAAAACAAGCTATCGAACAAAAGTAAATATGAAGCAAACAAAACAAAACAAAATAACATAAATCTAAAATTGATTCCATTTACATTGAAGTAAACGAAAAAGTATCACCGTTCGTTTGATCTGTTGAATATAATTTGGTACATTAGAAATATCTGTCAAAGTTATGTAAATCAAATTAAGTTGATCACGTAACGTTGATATCATTTGTTCGGTAAAAGAATTCATGTAAATACAATCTTTTATATCTATATAAAACAAAACAAAAAGAAACAAATTTATATTTACATCATATCATCTAATATATAACATACTAATTATTAGGTCAGCATAAGTATTGAATAGACTTCGAATGAGTAATAATGTCATGTCATCGATTGGCTAAAAATGAGAAAATATAAATCTGAATTTTTTTACAAAAAATTCTAAGATCAAGTAAACAACAATGATGAATTCCATTGCAAACATATATTCTACGATTTCTACTATAGGACAGGGTATTGACAGGAAAATTGAACAAAAGATTTTTAAATTAAAATTTTTGTCTTTAAGTATGCATCATAATGTGAAGAATACCTAAAAAGTTTCAATAAAAATCGTAGCTTTCCTTTTCTTTTGTCAAATATTCAACATTCAAAAAATTTCGATATTTCTGAAATGTAATCCATTGTTGAAAATTGAATATCTAAGGAAATTCGAAATCAATCCAAGACCATCATAGTCTTTCTCATATGTTCGTCATCGTAGAAATTCCTAATTGATATAGTTCTATGAAATCTATTATTTTTTTCTTTCTTTGAATTACTTACATGTCGTAATCTTATTTCAGTCTGTAAATAAAAAATAAAAATGAATATTTGAATCTTTGTAAAAAATCAATGAAAGTTTTCTTACTTCAATATAATCAAAAAAGTCGCTTATATGATCTATTGAAATAAATTTAATATGAAATTTCTTCCATATTAATTCATTGATTAATAATAAACGAATATCAGATAATAAATTTTCATCAAATAAAAATAAATGTAAATATGTTGGATGTTCTTCACATAATTTTGCTAAGAATAAAGCCATCTTAAAAGAAAAAAAAAACCGAGTAATCATTTGAAAAATTCTTCTTCTATTTAAAAATTTACTTGTTGTATATGTTTTTCTTTGTCATTTACAAATAAAAGACATAATTCCATTACATTTAAACATATTGAAATTCGTTCATGATTTAAACTAAATAAAGTTATTAAAATTTTTTGTTTTTTTTTTTGTGTAAATTAATTTTTTTACTTATTTATTTTTAAAATAATATGTTGAAGAAAATTTTCAATCGATTGAAATATTTGATTATCATTTAAATAAAAAACTTCTTTTTTATTTTGACATTTATTTCTATGTATTTCAATTAATTCAATAAAATAAATAATTAATTTAATATGAAAAAATTTATTTTTTTTAATAATTTTATTTTGTTGAAGAAATTGATTAAAATAATCATCTTCAATTAATTTTGAACGATAAATTTTTTTATTATATATTTCACATAAATCATATTCAATTAAATCAAATAATAAATCAAATAAAATATTTCTAATAGATATATATTGATAACATTGTAAACAATTATTATTATCATTATTATTTTTATGATTATATGTTGGTAATTCAATTAATAAATAACGTAAATGAGATGTTAAACCATATTGAAAAAATGAAAGTTCATCTTGATCATAATTTAAATTTCGAATAATAAACATTTTTAAGAAATTTAATATTATTATTGAAATAAATGATGGATCAATAGAATATGATAATATATTATCACAATATTCATATTTAATACAATTATTTGAATGAAATTCATTTTTTAGTTGAATAATTTCTTGATGACATATTGAAATATGTTCAAGTAAAAGTAATTCAACATTAACTAACCATTTAATACGCATTTCTGATGAATCAACAGCATGATCGAGAAGTTTTTCACGAGTATGAATATTATTAGAAATTGAATAACTAAATAAACAAAAAAAAAGCAACAGATAATTTTACTTATTCACGATTTCAAATGTTATACAAAATTTATTTTAGACATTAAAATCTTGTCTTATAAAACTGTTCTCTATGTCATGTGTTTATTCTAGTAGCCGACTCGGGTCACGAAAATTTGACCCATGCCAGACATTGGTCTATTCATAAACGTTGTACGCTCATAGACCATTAGAATCTTAACAAACTCGTCGAATAGAATTTACTAAAATGGAAGAATAAACACTATGTTTTAAACGGGCCCCAAAATCAGTTCTCTTTTTGAAGGCCACGTTGAGCCAAAAATAGCTTATGCTTACCCAGGCTAGCCTCTACTCTGTTAGAACTTGCCCAGCTCAGCTCAGAATGGTACTATGAAAAGTATATTTCTTTCACAAACAAGGATTTCTACAAGATGAAACTCCACAATTTATTAACATAAGCTTTCATGAGTAAAATACATCCCTGGTCAATTTCAAAGAATTAGATCAGTTACTTGTGTGTAGATGAGCAATGTCATTGAACCGAATCAATGCTCTGCTTTTATTTATTGACTAGATGAAACTTCCAAAACGATCACATTATAAAGATTCTTGATTGTTACCATTTACGAGGTAAAAATCCCATGTAAGAAATTTCGATGAGAAATTAGAATGAAATCCATCAAGAAAAAAAGTCTGTGCTGAGCGGTCAGACAAAAGTTTATAACTGTTTGACCTGGAAAAAAAGTTTCTATAGATCGAGCAGGGCATTTCAAATCTTGATTATAAAGAACCTATCTATTACAATGAATCTCACACTCAGAACGGCTCGTTTTGGAGTGAAGTTTTCATGAAGGAATGATCCCAGTGAGAAACACTTTGAGTAAAAATTTCAGCCTTATATGTCATACTAGACCAAATTTTCAGTTTATTAATAGTTCATTTATGGTTTCTAGACGAATCCTTAAAGCTCCGTCAAGAAAAAAGATAAAGAACTCGGAGTGATTTCATATTAAAGTCGACGCCTATGCACAATTTTTGTCCAAACAGAATTTTAAAATTTGTTTTCATTTAATTTATATAAACGTGTTACAATAAGTATAAAAGATGACTGCAAAACAGTAAATCTTGCTTTTTTTTTGAGCATAAAAATCATATATAAAAAAAATCTGATTGCACAAAACTTTTCTCTCATTTAGAGCTTCAAAACAAAAAAAATTATTGGTTATGTTAAATTGTGAACGAAAAGTTCTATTTTTTCTAATTGAAA